GCCATTGCTATTAGGGTGGAGGCCATCGCTAGTAGGTTGGAGGCCATGGCTAGTGGGTTGGAGGCCATTGTTTTTTTGGGGTCTGGGGTCCAAAGAAAACTGTGATATATATATATATATAATATATATATATATATATATATTATACTTTCATATACCACCTCCTGGGCGAACTCATTCGGTCAAATCTGCCAAAAGACTCTCATTTACCTCTACCCTCAAAGAGGTCTGAGAAGGGGTAAACACCTCGATGCATCCTAGGTCTGGACCATCTATTCGTTCACTTACAAATGGGTCATCTTGTACCTGTTTTTTACTTTTTCCTGGGGTCATGTCCCCATTTTCTGTAATTAGGCACTTTGAGGATACTTTGAGACTCCAGGTAGATCTCGGTTGCCTGAACCAAGGATCAAGGCTAGACTTGAGGCTCGGGGATTTAAGTCGATGATTGAAATAACATCCAGCAACTTTGTTTCACAGTGTCTCCCGGAATACACGAGCGATTTTCGGACAAACTGCAGACTTCACGGAGGGTTGACCAGAATAATTGTCAAATGGGCGACCAGTACTGGCGATAGCATTTTAACAGGGAGTGTCTGCCACCAGTGGGGTTTCCTTGCTTTTCCTTATGTAACCAAAGACCTCCACACTCAAAGGAGTCCTTCCAGCATGGGCACCGATCGGTCGTGCCCTTTTGGCCCTTTTGAGGGGTCAAATGGTCCGTTGTAGGGCCTATGGATCCACATACCATCCACCGTACCTCAGAAGGGGTCCTTGGACCCCACCCTGGCGCCTACATGTTTCGGTGGCAGTGGATCTCTAGGGATTGAGAGTTTTGGTATCAGCTCCATGTCGAACTCGATTTCTTTGAGTGAGTGTAGAACTAGAAACGGCGCACGCCCAGAAAAATACTTGTGTGGATATACGTTAGAATCTCTTCCCAAAGTGGTGGTGATACTCTTATGCCATTTGCTTAGGTCAAAACCTTACCCTTTGCACACGGCGATCACTCCTCTAGTTTTGACCAAAAACCATCCAGCCTACGGCAGGTTGGACGCGCCGTCAGAAAACCAGGTCGCCCTGCCTGCATCTGTGCCATCGAGTCTTTGATCTGCCTCACCTGAGGCCGCATGGCTTGCATTCAAACCAGCTACCCTCTGTCTACCTAGAACTAGAACCGTCTAGATCCCAAACATGACCCCGGCTTTAATAGAAGAAGAATCCTGTCACTCCATGTATGACATATTCATATATAATCATTCCCTACACTTCAAAGTACCTCCTCAGAAGGTTCTTAGACCCTCCAAACCCACCCCAAAGACCTTCTCCGCAGCTACTTGGAGGCCTAGGGTTTGATATCATTTGTACATACATTGGGGTGTTTGAAAAGGGGTCACATGTAAGCCCGAGAGATGTCCAGTTCGACGATAAAATCTGACCGGCTGAGGTATGGACGTTCCCCAACTCAGTTCCCCGAAATCAAGACCATGGTCTTTTTGATCGTCGACGGTATCTCCCTCTCCGACTTGGCTAGCCATTTGCGATCTGAGATTGACTCCGCGCCGCGGAGTCAATAACTTGACTCCCAGGGCGCCCAGGGTCGGGATTAAAAGCACCATCAGATAGCACATGATCCTCCCAGGGTCGAAGAATGACCCGAAGCACCCACCCCATCCAGCCGCGACGCCGGACCCGACGGCGGACCCGGTGCCTCTCCCGGGCTTCGAACAGGGTTGACCAGGGTTGACCATAGCAAAGCATGAAACATGAAGGTGTTCACATATAGCCACAAAAACCTGGTGTTTTTGCTAGGAAAGCCAGGTGTTTGATGGTTTAAGTGGGGCCCCTGGTAAGATATGACTCAACTCCATAGAATGACATTGACATGTCATTGACCTGTAGAACCGTCCCCACGTCTTAATATATTAATCACCCGTCCCCACGGAGATTCACCGAACTCCCACTCTCTCCACGGGATTCACAGCTGGAAATACTCATAGAAGTGGGATGGCATGGTCCCAAAGACACCCTGCTCTCTCGGAAACAGGAGGTGCCACGCCATTTTCCATTGTGTGAGTGAGTCTAGAATACCAGCACCACCCGAAGGGTGGTGATTGGATACCAAATACCACCCTCTGGCAAGTGCTGATAGTATAGTTACTATACTATACTTCTCATCCCCAAGCTCCCAGGCTCTTGCCCGCGCCTCCTCGTCTCGCTGCTGCGTCTTCCGCTTCAGATTCCGCAGTCGGACCTCCAACTGCTGGATGCCTTGGCACCGTGCTGCGACCTCTCTCCGTGGGTCGATGCAGGGTGAGAGCAGCTCGCAGCCGAAGCAGCGGAAGCTCGTTGCGACGAGCTAAGAGGTCGGTCGAATGAAACATGATGAGATAAGTCCCTAGGGCTCCAACCATCTCCTCAGAAGGTGGTTAGACCCCCCAATCCCACCCCAACCATCTTCTCAGGAGGTGGTTGGAGCCCTAGGGAGTAATGACAGTTAAGTTGTGCTTGTTTGATTTGTGAAGGTCGAACTGCGGCAGGTTGGGAGCGAAACATGTGGAGGTCTCGAATCAACAGGTTGGGTTCCATGTCTTTGGTGTTCGATTGAGGATATTCACATGTGGGGGCACTAAGAATTGCCCTTGACCAGCGCTTGTTGAACTGCCACTGAATCCAAGTCTGCCAAAATTCATGGTGGAAAAGGCTGATTAGACTCATCAGAGACCTGGCTCTCACAATCTCTCACATATGTATCAATCATCTGAGTACTTCAATACAGAAATTCGCCCTTCAATGCATGTATTTTGCTCCTTCCGCCATCACCACGTGGTGGGCCACTCCGGAGCGCTGCACCACCTCTCCAGCCTCCCTGCTCGCCCATGCCGCGATCCCGTGTGGTTCACCGGGTCGCGTCACCCCGAATCTCTCCACGCAGTTCTTCTGCGTCCGGTGTCCCGTTCCCCAACAGCTTAGCTTACAGCTTAAGGTCAGACCGTCAGACCTACTTTCCCCAGGGAAAATGAGACACACATTGAACTCATCAGAGAAAAGCACCAGTCTCCCCTTGTTTACCAGACCCCGGTCTGCTGAGCGTGTCCGGCGGTTCTGCTGCTTATTCAACTTCGCTTCGGCCTGCCCGGCTGGACCAGACTGGACTGGACCCGACATCTGCCTGGACCCGACTGGGCTGGGATGACATGGCAAACAGAATACCTTCGTCCGGGTCACTGAGGTTCCCAGGTTCGACCAGATCGAGTGACTCGGAGTGTACCCGACAGCATCCAAAGCTACCAAAGGAGCCTTAGACCCTAGAAGAGGGCAGGAGCATGAATCCAAGAAATGGGTGAATTCGTCCTACCACCGGAGCCATGGCCGAGAAAATGGGGCCACATCCCATCATCACTTCGTGAAACAGCGTGTGGTTGAAGAACTCTTCGTTGTTTCCCCTTTTAACACATCCCCAGTGGCCGCCCTGAGAGACCCGTATCCTGCCGCCCTTACTGCCGCCCTGCCGACAGAGGAGATCCCTCCCACCGACTTCCGGGGTCGCCAGACATCCGACTCAGTCGAGATCCCATCCAACGAAGGAGCGAACACCTGGTTCCAGGCTCTACAGGGAAGGATGGATTGCATCATCCGGCGCCTTCTTTTTGTGAGTATGAACATTGAGAACGGGTTCCAACATGCAGGATCCAGACTCAGAGTTCAAGCTCAGGGGAAGATCACCGATGATTTGCGTTTGATGGGTACAAGATCAGTCTGGTCATGTAAGAAAGATGGGGACTCGGGACTCTTCACCGCTCCGTAGTACACCGCGCAAACACCCGGGCCAAGCGCGGTTGAACCGCCACAGTCGTCTTCTGCCTCCCAAAGCTTCTTTCGGCCAAAGGCATCTTCGTTGTTCTGCTCCCTTCTGAGCTTCCAGCTCTTGTCCTGCATCGAAGGAGAAATGTTTGAAGAAATAGGACGGAGCTCCTTTCCTTGGACCTAGCGTCGACGTGGTCGTAGGACAATGAGTGGGCCATGATTTCTAAGGTACTCTGTAAGGTCCAGGCTGATTGAAATGAAACTGATTCCACCACTGCAAACAGGTTCCTTATATGAAAGTTATAAGCTCAGCTTCCATGAGCAAAGCGCTGAAGCATGCCCCTGGAAACCCGAGTCTTGGACCTCAGTGTCTGTTCAGAACATCGACCTCGGGAAAAACAACATGTCTAAACATGTCTTGAATCCAAACATTATGAAATCCAAAAGACCTTTGATGCAATGTGCGATTTTGTGCTGCTCTGGATGTATAGAGAGGTAGTTGACCTCTTAGGTTGCTTCCAACAGAAGCATGCCAAAATAATGATCAATTCCATGTCCAAGCTTTCGGTTCGTCGCCTTGTGGATTCTTTGTTGAGGAACGGACACGTGGTTCTCAACTCACCCCGCTCTGGTGGATGTTCAAGCTGACACTGGAACGGAGCCGACCATGACCATTCCAATCAGGTTCCTATGGCAAGATGTGAGCAGCATGTCTCCTCCAAAACTCTCCAGCTAGCTCAGTAACAACGAAGACCAGTGAACGACCGGAGAAGAACAGTGGCAGCTGTAATTATTCTTCATGTTACGTACAGTATAATAGCTATGGCATGCTATGGCTAGTTACAGTGCCTCTAGTTCTTTCGAGAAGAGATGGAAAAGGTCTAACTATAATGGTCTATAATATAGATAGCTCCTTACTTCATGCTACTTGACTCCCTGAAAAACGACCCAACTATCATCCTGATCAACAAAACTCACACCCCGTCCAAGCCCCCCACACTCCTCCGCCACGCGCGCGCGGCCCGCCAGCTCGAAGAGCTCTTGCTCTGCAGCACGGCGCACCTGGGAGCTGCGGTGGGCTTCGGCACCGGAGCAATGCAAACGGAGAGAGGTGGGAGCCTAGAGAAGGATAATAAATTATTATTCTAGACATGCATGTCAAGTGGTACGTGCTCAAATGATTGGTATTCATCTGACATTCGCCCAAAATCTCACAAAACCACACAATGGAATTGGAAAAACTTTACCAAAACACTTTGAAGCATCGGAATCTATAACATCTATATAACCTCGGGTGAAAGTTTAGGAGGCATGAATTGACCAGAATAGACCCTGCCTCCAGGACTTGCATCTCCAACTGCCGTGACGCAGACGCCAAGACCAAGCGTCGGGATGCCTGCGCCACGACGGAGCTCTCTGGCATGTTTCGCTTCTTTTTTCACGGATTGGAAAACGCAGGTCGAAAGCAGGATGGTTTTTTAATTGAGGGATGTTGACTTTTTGGAGGCCTGGTTTAAGGGATTTGATTTGGTCTACATCATTAGCCCATCATCTTCCACGCTTATCCAAACCCAATCAAATACGACATCCTGGAACTTCGGCCTGTCCAAAGACTGCCCAACCCGGCAGTCTTGAGCCCTGGAACATCTTTTGGTCTATAGTCGTTTGTTCTTTTTGAACATTCCGTTGGGACACCTGCTGAGTCCGAAATCTTGGATGCAGTCTGGTCAAAGCACGACGATCGGGTCCATGAATTTCATGTCGTCTACGGCACCGTCCATCGTCGTCACCATCGTCCGAACCCTGCGGACGTGCGCTGCGCATGCTGACGTGCGCTGTGCAGTGCTGACGTGCGCTGGAGCGCCACCGAGAGTTCCCCCGGCCTCTTCCGTGCGAGGACACCGCGGCTGCGCGGCCTTCGCCTCCTGGGCGACCGCACCGCGACCGCATGCAGCGCAGGCGACCGATGTGTGGTGTGCGTCGCCCGGACGGGAGGCGTATAGGCCTCTATTCTTGTTAACGTTCTATGTTCTTCGGCCGAAGCGAAACACTTCGTGTCCTGCCAAGCTTTGGGCACCGCCGGCGCCTTCCACGACCGGAGCTCCTGGGAAGGACGGGACGACCAGCCTTGGGTCGTGGACGTCCCCCTGCCTGGGGCGCATGAATACGGAGACGAACAAGCTAAGGTTGTGGATCAAACCCCAGGCACCCTGGTTGACCAAAATGAATAGATTCCTCTGTAATCCATGTCAGCCCATCATGGCCTGAAACCCTCGAATTGGAATGAATTTGAGACAACACTTCCTGCGAACAGAATTTACAAGACTTTGACTTCCCCAGGGGATCCAGTTACCACTATAGCTGGTAACCAGTGGATGGCAACTGGGATCCACTGGGGTCGCCATGCTTGATACTCTTCTGACCCGCCCCTGAAACCGACGATGTCCCATCGAGCTCCCAGTCCGGCGCCATGGGGTCTGGAGCGCGGCCCGGGGTGGAAGGCACCGACTGAGCCTCAGTCGGTCACTGAAGAAAATCCGAGAAACCAACGATGTCTTAAGCAAGAACAACACTCATGCCATGACGTTCACTGAAGATCGAAGAATTAAGACACCCTCTTAAGAGCCTCTTAACCAAGAAAATCAGCCATGATGTTAAAACTCAGCCATGATGTTAAGCATGATGATTTAACCATGATGACCTCACTCCCAAGAATCGAACAAACCATCACTTGGGATGTGGTTTCCCTGCCATAGACAGATCCAGACCCCTGTGGATCCAGCGGTTGGACCTGGTTTCAGGAACCTCTCCTCACCGTGTTTTCTCAGTGGGACCGGTGTGGAGTGGAATGGGGGACCCTCAGCCAAAGTCTTGGGAACAGTGGAGTCGAACATGGATTTATAAGGCCAATTTTGGCCAAATGATCTCCGGATCTATCACACACACACACATACACACACTGCTGTGAAGGATTTGGACTCCTTTTTTTAGCCATTCGGACTTCCTTCGCTCAAAACAAGGAGCCCAAGCTGAGCACCTACCATTCAAGTAGAAGTAAGCATTTCAACGCCTTTTAATTTTAATAGCCTTGAAATGCCCACCGAACCACCGTTGTAAACACTTTAACCACCACCACAAAACCAGGGTGAACCATTCACTACCTCAACTCGTCGACTCGGAAGGCGCCCAAGTTGCCCAAGGGTCGGTTCGGTGCGGTGTCCCGACTCTCCAGGTGCCCCGGCCACGGTCGGGGCCTGGACCGTCTTCTGACTCATTACCCAGACACGACCTGTCTGGGACTGGTATATTTACCGATCAGTTGGGGTGGTGCCAGGGGGGTTCAATGGGGCGGCATATATGGCAGTCCCATTAGTCGTGTCTGGGTTATAAGGTGTTCTGTTTCGGCAGTCGACAGATGAAGGGCTCAGAAGCGGAGATGAAGAAGACCCACATGCACATTATATAACCCTCCAAATGCCGTACCTGTGGGGCATCCCCCGTACCTTTGGTTTGAGGGCATAAGACTGAAAGATCTGAAAGATGAGGGCACAGAAGCAGAAGAACGCTGTGGACGTGTGTTGACGTGTGCTGAACAGGAAACACTGCAGAAAAGGTTGGCAATACTGTTGGCAATTTATGATCCGCTATCCAGGCGTACAAACACTATAGCTGCTAGCTAGACTCCAACTATACGACCAGACCTTGGCCCAGGTCCTCAGGACAACCTAAGGAGGTAGTGGGTGGTTTCTGGATCCTCAGAGCCAGCTATCAAACTGGGTCGATTGAGATCATCATCTGCTCTAGAGTTCAGCTGCCTTCTCTCCCTCTGTCACCCGATCCTCCAGATGACGTTCGTAAGAAGCACAAAGCTATGAAAGGCTTGCGTAAGAACATGCAAACTTTTCTTGTGAGGGGTCACTCTATGATCAAACTCTCCCTTCAAGTCAAGGGTTGCTCCAGCGTGATACCTTCTATTAGAATACCTTGCGATACCTTGTAAACATTGGTATAGTCTTACTTCCCTAGGGCTCCAACCATCTCCTCAGAAGGTGGTTAGACCCCCCTGGCACCCACCCCAGTCCCACCTTCTCAGAAGGTGGTTGGAGCCCTAGGGCTTGTACCCTTTTTGTTGATGTTGTTTTGTAGGGTCATGTCCCACCATCGACTTCAGGAACGAGTTCCGCCTTGGACGTTGCCACATGTTGCCACATGTTGCTTCGAAGTCGCTTCGAAGGTGCGGTGATTGGCTTTGAACTCAACAAAAAGAACTTCATGACCCAACAGAAACACACCAAAGGTTGAAGAACCCCCATATATATAGATATGTCCTGTAAGTACCCCGGAATGACGGGTCCTAGTTCAGGTCACTCTGGACCTCTGTTGGCATCGAAGAAATGGAAAGTCTGTGGTCACCAGGAACGTCATCGAGGGTCCATGTCGTGCCTAATAACCTGAGGTTTGGTGGAATGTCTATAGATAGCAGTGCAGTGGTCCTCAAAAGGCAAACATAGAGCTGCTTGTACTAAACAACTGGTGTTTTGTTGCTAGGAAAACCTGGCCTTTGAATGTCTTCGATGTTCTTTGATGCTTCTCTTGGGCCCCTGGTAGGCGCAATTCACCCCACCCCAACGTCCACCACAACAAACCTCGCCTCGCAGCTGAGGACGTGGAGCATCAAACTGTTGAGGCTCCGGAGCTGCGCCACCCGCTGCTGTTGCCCCTGGCAGATGCGAGATGCCTTATCCCAAACACTCCATGGGGCGCACTTAACGATGTCAAAATTTCATTCCTGCATTTAAAAATAATTGCTGCTGGGACCGCAGCTCGGAAGTACTCAATGATGAATCCAATAAAATCAATCAATAACATTAAAGCCCGAATAGAAAAGGTGGGTTAACCTGCCCATGGGACAAGGGCAAAGGAGACCCTCATGCAGCCAAACCGGAGATCTGTCATGCAGCCAAACGGTCCTGTAGCCGTAAAGCTCACTTCTGGTTGTTAAATGAACAATCGGTCAGGCAGCCAGGCTTCACGCCCCTCTCTCTCCTACTCTCTCCTTTGATAGTGGACCATCTCCCCCAATTCGAACTTAGAATTGAAAATAATTCACCTATTCAAAAAGTTTCATACCTGCACTTAAGGAAATCACCTCAGTAGTGACAGGGCTTGGTATGCCCTCTCCTTAGTGCAGTCGGTAGCGCTACCGACTGCAGTAAGCCTCCATGTGATTCCCTTAAGTGCAGGTGAAAATAATTCAGGGATGCTTAAATCAATGCAAAAACCATGCCCCATTGATTGAGAGCCATGGGCTTACTGAGGTCGGTAGCGCTACCGACCTCCCTAAGGGGGGGGTATGGCATGCCCTCCCCTTACTGCACTGATTTCCTTAAGTGCAGCTGCATTTTGAAAATAAATAGTTTCAATCAGGGTGACCAGCAAGAAAAGAACATATCATCCGCCGAAAGTCCAAACAGTGGTCAGAGACTTGACTTTCCACATGTTCTAGAGAATCATATCCTTGCTTGAATGTGTAGACAGAGATTCAATAACAGCACTGCTGCTGTAAGTTTGTACGAATGGTACTAAAGAGCACATGCTTGTTCCATGCCCTACCGAATCACAACGGGTCCTAAAGAGAGAAAGCTGTGACTTCACGGGGTGCCCTATGTTTGGGGAGTTCAAGCCAGACATCCCAGCCTTCTCCCCAACTCATAGGGAAATTTAAACATGTCAAAAATAAGGGAAGTGATTTTTTCACCTTGTTAAGTATGCCATATATGCCTACATTGACCCCCCAAACCACCCCAATGTAGGTAAATATACCATACATGGAGTGTTTGGGTTATTAATCCCGAGTACCGGCCCTCAAAAAAACGGATCCCTATTAAAACGGCCCGTGGTTTTTAATAGGTGGAGGGGATTAGTATATATAGTTTAGTTATGTTATGTTTAGTTTAGTATGGCGTGGAGATGCATCCCACCAGCAAACCAGAGGTGGGATTCCGGATTTGGCGAGATTGTGCTGATGATCCGCCAAACTGGATATGGGGTCGAAAACAACCACTCGAACTCGGACATGAAGCTTCAAAGGCACCGAACTGAACCGTTCTATCATGATCTTAGTTTCCGCTGTGGTCCGACGGACGTGCGAAACGTTCCGGTGCCAGTGCACTTGGTGCAGCGCACGTCCGTCGGACCACTTGCGCTGGTTCCCGGCTCCGATCTTCGCGTTCCACCGTGGCTTGATTCGTTCGTGTGGGACGGGACCGGAGCGAAGCGGCCCAATACGAGTCAGATGTTCTGTCCGTAGACTGCTGGACATCGAGGCACAGACGTCAGTTATGTCCTTCCCCGTCCTTCATTGAGCCAAGACTTCTGTCTTCGACTATAACAACCCCGACGGTTCCGGCAGCAAGTCTTTGAGTCGTCCCAGTCCGTTCCTTTCCTGCCGCTCCCCTCCTCCAGCTCTCGCGCAATGCGCTCGGCAAAGCCCAGTGGCAAGGAATCGGCATACCTCAAGCGGTTACGGCCGACCGGTGGCGAGGCGTTCTGAAGCCAAAAGAAGAGATGTTCCGGGTCAACAGAGCCTGGAGTAGAGTATCCGGGGTAAGGAGAAAGGGTGCCCAAACCGCTGGTACCTGGTTTTTGGGAATCACCAAGCGATTGGATTTGTCATGTTTAGAATCTTCCAACAGTACTGGACGTATTGGATATGACATGTCCAAACGAGTCCAAAAGTGTGTTGAAAACAAACGTGAGCTCCCAGGTATATAGTGAGACACTAGTTTCTAAAGATACGTGACCTGTGCCTTTTTGAGGGATCCAACGGCTTGGATGTGCTTCAGGAACCGAGGCAAACATGTATTCCCCAAAAGGGGATTCACCCAGTCTGGACAAATAGACAATCACCTGACTCCGCCAAACCAGGAACGTTTGTGTGTGAAATTGTTTTATGACCAATCCAACCAAAAACTTAGGGGAGGGCCACCCACCCTTCGTGACCGTGAGGTCCGCGGTTCATGAAGCGAGTGACTCCAACAACTCGTACTCCAAAGGCGACCAATCCTGAGGTTGGACTGGAGGGGGAGGAGTCGTCCATCTGGGCAAAAGTGAACCAGCTGAGTGCCCAAGTGACCTCTTTGGAGTGCCCCAGTGACCTTTTACAGGCCCTTTTGTGACCCTTTTGAGGTGATCTGAAAGGGTCACTTTGAAGAGCTAGGAACAATAACAATTATATAACCATACCTGGACCCTCCTGTCGGGGTGCCCTGTCTGGAAGCCTAGGCCGGTAATGTGGGGTAGTTCATTGACACCCCTTGGAGGGTCCTGGTATATAACCAAACACATTTGAATACCTTTGATGTTGTTTGTTGTGAGTAGTAGTTCACGACTGCCAAATCCATGGAATATTTCAGTAGAACATGTTGGTGATGTTCAGCCAGGATAGCCGTTTCCCCCCCCTGGTGACCTACATGACCAAGACTTCCATGCAAAGGCTCGTCTGTGGATACTAGCAGTTTTTGATGTCAGATTTCTATATGAGTGTGTCTCAAACGAGTCAAATGGACCAGCCCAAACCCCAACACTATAGCAAAACATCTACTGCAACCCAGGTTTCCACCCCTTTTGCAGTATCTCTGCATTTTTTTCACATGTTTCCCGGTCGTGGATACAGCATGTATTCGGAGGCATTGATAGTAAGGCAATGTTTCAGTGTCATCTGAAAAGAACAAAGGGGCTAAAGTATGCTAAAGGCCTAGGGATCCACCGTACCTATCCGTACCTCAGGTTTTGTACGACTGGACCCTCCAATGCCCCCACTTCTGCTGGCTTTGTCTCTCACTTTCTCAGAAGACACCAGTGGATAACACTAGTGGAACCAAACACTTTTACTGTGCTTTTGCTGGGCTACATCCCAGGCAAAAGTCCTTGACCCCCCCGGGTGATTTTGGTCTGGTGATGGATCCGAAGTCCAATCCCATCCACTCTAAGGCGCTGAAGGCAACCTGGGAGAGTCGTTGATGTCGCCCTGGGAGAATTGAGTGAACGCCGCGCGGTCAGTGCGGTCCGTACCGTTGAGGCTAGATTTCAAGAGTTGTAGCTGTTTTTTTTATTGCAGTCCAAAGAAGCACACCTCGTCAGTGCTGCCTTGAAGAAGGTCCTTTTCTAATATAGATGTGCTGGGAATCTTCCCTTGGAGATGAATTAAGGATTCAACCCGGCTCCGGAAAGATAGGATGATTATATAATAGAAGCAACATGAAGCAACAGCGTTGATCTGAGCTGGACATGAACATGGGAAGAGACAAAGGTCAACAATCACTTTAGGACAATCAAAGGAGGAGGTCGATGGGAATGTGGACACATGTGGACACAATCTATTAATTGGGTATATATCAGTAACAGTACATGTTCCAGGCCCCGTGGATGGCAATGGTTACCAAAGGCCTTTCTTTCTCAAAATGAGGGAATCATAATTAATCCTTTACCGACTGTGAATGGGACGCCCCCTGAATTTTTTGACACACTGAAAGGTAATGGCCCATTGGACCTCAAAAACCAATCGTGAGACCACAAACAATCCCAGGCACTCCATGGGACTGGTATATTTACCAATCAGTTGGGGTGGTTTGGGGGATCAATGTAGGCATATATGGCAGTCCCATGGAGTGTCTGGGATTTGTGGGGGTCACAGAAACATGGCAATCGAAGTGATGAAACTTCGGCGTCGCTCCTGAATGGTCAATTCATTATCTGTTGGGCGCATGTGAAGCCCAGGTCCCTGCAAATTGCTGTCCAGGAAGCTGGGAAAAATAGGACCTATTCCCCATGCTAAAAGATTTCACCCGGTCGGACAAAAAGCAAACAAACAAAACACAACACAAACACTCCATGGGACTGCAATAGGACTGCCGCCCCAGACAGACCCCCCAAACCACCCCTGGCCGTTTCTCGGTGGTCCAGTCACCAGTCCCAGACAGGTCGTGTCGTGTCGGAACTCTGCCCTATGGACCCGTGCGGCGCACCGGAGATTGGAAGACGAATCGCCCAGACCTCGCCAGACCTCGCCCAGCGGAGTCGGACCCAGTGGCCTCTGACACCTTCGCATCACCTGCGGAGGCGTAGAGCCGATCGACCCACACGGAACGATGCGGGTGACGAGGCGGGTGACCCGAAGAAGGGCCCCCGCAGGGCGCCATTGGTTGAAAGAACCTGGAGCCGACTTCAAGTACCTTAGAAAATGGGACATGACCCTAGTAAACAAACAGCTACTTGTACTCAGTTTCCAAGGTACTTTGAGACTCCAGGAAGGGATGCTGGAGAGAATGGACGATTCTTAGCCATTCTTGGACTAGAGTTTCTTATGTTTCATTCACTGGCGCGAGTCTAAAGCTTCCCGGTAGCAACCATTGGCCCTCATGGAATCTATATAGCTTTCAGGGCAGGCTGCTATATATTTATAGGGGCTATAATCCGCAGTTTGAAGGGGCTGGATCTTTCGACTGAAAGGGCAAGCCGAGAAAGGACACTCGTTGAAGAACATTGCAGTTGGAGACAATGCAGGTTCATCTGGAAACCGAGCATCAAATCATTGACAATTGCCAAACGTTCCCAATACACTCCCTGGAATAATCATGGCACAACCTGACGGACAACATGACGGACAACATGACCCCGAAGACGAAAGGACGACCATAAAAATTATCATAGCTAACAGCTGCTCTTCACTCCGCTAAACCATGATCATTTGGTGGGTGGGTGAAGACCCGGGAACCTCTGCAAAAAACCCGAGTTCACATGTTTCTTTCTGTTACAGACCACCAGGGTACTACTTGAGGATACTGGTCTGCCACGTTCCAACAGCCCTAGTTCACACCTGAAAAATCCACAGAATCTGCGGACACGATGAAACAGTTTCCGGGCAAAAAGTCAGGTGCCATCACCAAGCGGCCCAAACACCCCTGGCAGAGCCAGGAGTGTTTTGGCCGTTAAGCCGTCCTTGACATCGGCGACACCGATGATTAGAGCTGTCTCAGCGGTGACCACCTTCGCTTTCGACCACGACCAACGCTTGGAAAGACCGTCCCCGAGTGAGCCGACCAACGCTTGGCCCTTCGGGTTCGGAATCCGCAATCGAAGGTAGACTGATCATGACTGATCAATCAATTCCCTAGGGATCCAAGTACCTTCTCAGCAGGTGATTGGAAGGTACGACTGGATCCATAGGGATTCAGGATAGTAAAACCCCCTCCCCTTTTTTATATGGTCGAAACCTCAACGAGTGCCGAGTGCGGAGAGGATAGGCTCGATCCATCGAGACCGCGAAGCCATCCACCGCCATTCATGTCATGTGGGTTTTTCTTCATCCTTAAAGTACTGCACCCCAAAGAGGCAAACTAGTCAGTCAGTCAGTCAGTCAGTCAGGCGTTTGGGCTGGGTCCGTGTTGCAGTGACTGTTTCTGTGCATGTTCATGAAGTTCAGGCCGCCTGTGGGGCCTGGCCCAGCAGACCTCTGCAACTTCCCCACCCCCTTTCAGACTCGAAGAAGTGTCACAGCCGAAAGCTTGGGCCCCGAAAGCTTGGGCCTAACATACCGAACCCTGCCTTCCGGAGTGCAAGGCAAGCGCAGGGCGCTCATGGCAGGCATGGAACAGCTTCCCTGGAGACGAGGAAACAGCCAAACTACCTGGGCCCTCGAAGCACTCCTAATAGGGTCATGTCTCATTTTCTGAAGTACTGTGGAGGGTACAAGTAGAAGCTCCAACACTTGATGTTTGCCCCTAAGGGTAAAGGGGTGCAGGATCCACTCACTCTGCACGGTGTTGTGATCCAGCCAAACATATCCATGTGTGTCCGGGGTTGGGTTCCACTATATAGGATCTAATACACATGCGATCACATGCGCATATGTATGATATATGCTGCAAACATTCCTTGATCATCCCAGGTTGCCCATCAACTCTCCCATCAGCGGAGGCCAGCGGAGGCCAGGCTGCAGCATAGGGAGTAGATTCGGGAAAATGTGCTCTTGTTATCTTTAGGTTGGAGGCCATCGCTAGTAGGTTGAAAACAATCGCTCTTAAGTTCCCTTCTTGCCTCAAATCCGACCAAGTCTACTGCGACGATGGATGATGCTCTCCGCTCCTTCTCCGGCGTCGCCAGCTGCACCATACCAAGTGCCTGGCGTGAATGTTCAAAAAAAGCTCTTGTTCAACTCATTTGGGGGGATCAATCAGTTTGAACACTAGTGCTGGCATGGGGATGTGTTTCCTCAACCCAAGATTAGGGAAGGTGTGTTTCCTCACACAACGATGCACTGTTCTCTCCCACACCACATCTGTCCACTTGTTCGGCCCGGTGTGGGAGATCGACACCCGACGTAGGACGTCTCGATGCGACTCTCTGGCTGTCTGCCTTTGGACGGATCCATCTCTTCCTTCTGAACCAAGCAACACCCTCCCCAAGACGAACGCGTCTCGTGGCATGCGGACGCATGCCTCCATGTCAGCAAAAGCAGCTGATTTGGGCCAGAAAGAAGCCAAACAGCGTGTCCACACATGCATAACTTAATGACTACACCATAGAGTTTGAGTGCTTGATTGTTGAACTCAAGTTAAACCTACCAAAAAGAAAGAAATACTAAGACCTCTCTGAACACGTACTCGTTCTATCCTTTCAGTCCTCTGGTCGCTTGTTTCTGCACCCAGGAGGCCGAACATGCACGAAAACAAGAGTAGCAGGAGACTGTTTCCCTATTGTTCAAATGGAAACATACAGAAACCGCCCATCTCAGCATCTTTTTTTTTTCGACGAGGTGAAGGCGTGAGCGGAATCTAATGGATTCTCTGGGCGCCCGCTGACATGTCTTAGGATCAAGACAGGCGTCAAACGTACATTTGCCTGGTTGGCACAAAGACATCACGAGACTATGAGGGTGGACACATGTTGATTCTCAAGTCCCCTCTGTGGTGGGTGGTGAAGATGTGAACCGGGCTGGCCTTCTTCGTTCGATTCTAGGTTTGACGACCAGAGTTTTCTTTGTCCTCTGCATTTGAACCACATGCGAACCACATTTAGACAAACAGACTGCCCCCAGTGTTGCAGATGTTCCTTGTATTATCCGTACGCCGTACGCCAAAAAGAGCATGTTTTCGGACTTCTCACCATATCTCTTCCACATCAACAAATCCCCAAACCTCCATTCTCCTTAATGTCACCTCACCAGCCACTGCGTGTTTCAGTATCCTTGCTCCAGGCATCTGGCACCCATGGGGCGCCCTCACTCGCCCTCGCTCTTCACTCGAAGGCAGTGGAATCCAGGCTCTCCAAGGCGTCCCCAATGGCCCCAGTGGGCTTCACTGTGGGTGGCCCCTGCGGTGGCAGCACACTCGAAGCTCGCCACGAAAACGACGGATTTGGAGGTGTCGGGGGCTGCTCTTGAAATTTAGGCACGCACTGTACTCAATATACTCAATTCAGAATTAAGAGCAGCCCCCCGACTCAATTCTTGATTATCGTTCTGTAAGTCATAAAACCGACCGATGATCATGAAACCAATGTGTGAAACCGAAGGAATCGATGCAAACCGCAATTCCGCCCACGAGGTCTGAGCGCCGCGACTTGATAGGCCACGCTTGGATGACACTGGATGGGTTACTTGGACTCCCCGGACTGGCTGGATGGGACTGGCTAGAAAGGTGTGCAGCCAGGAAATCAGTTTTCTGGTGGCCCCTCACCGCCCGTTCTCCCTCTTCACCTCCACCAACAAACGACCTGAAAAAGACCGTTCAGCTGCGAGATAGGGGAGACGAGAGGTCACATGGAGACTCCGAGGTGTCAGTTCCAAAGTCCTGGAGTTCCCAAGGTGTCATACGCCCGAGTTCCAAAAAAGGAGTATACTCATGATCCACTCACTGGATGGGACGAAGACTATGTTTACATACTAAAACCGTAAAACCCATTGAAACTGGTGATGATTCAGATCGCCCCAGCCATGATCCACAACCGCTGCGAGTTCCACTCCTGAAAGCTTTTCACGGTGGCAGCAAACTGGCTCGGCCGAGCATTCAGCACACCCTGGGCGTTCGCTTCGCACGGTGCAAGCGTTCGCGGTGGAAGCGAACGCACATGGTTCACCGGGGTGTCTTCACCGAGTGGCTCAGGGAGTCCATCTGTATACACTCCAAATGTACACTCCCGAAAACTAACATAGACCCTGACGTCCTGGCTCCCTGCAAGAGTGTTTTCCTCTATCAACCAGTGGTTTTCAGGGTCCATGTTAGTCTTCCAGGGTGTATGGTATATGGCTACATTAGGCTACATTGACCCCTCATGCCATCTCAATGTATATATATATATATATGCCAGTCCCTGGCCCATGGAGTGTCTGGGTATGAATTGGGGTGTTTGTGGTTTACTCACCACCCCGACAGGACGACCAATGCGGACGATCAGTGAGGACAATAGGACGACCGAATGTCAGTTCAGATCTCACTTCCTCTTCTCCAGTTCTGTGCGGTTTCTGTTTTGATGGACCGGATGGACCCGGAACAGACCAGTGGAAACGCCCCCCAGTTCATCCATGCTATATCCATGGAAGAGGGGTGTTGGAGGCCATCGCCATTAGGTTGGAGGCCATTGCTATTAGGTTGGAGGCCATCGCTACTAAGGTGGAGACAATCGCTATGCTAACCCCAAAGAATCCACCGGCTTCCGGAGTTGACTCTTGCGTCTTTCGTTGGACTCTTCCGCCTGGTCCTTCAGCGCTTGTGTCTTGAAGGCACCCGCTTGAAGCGCTTCGAACGGATGCTCTCCTGGCAACGCTCTCAGGTCGGTCAGGATCAGAAAGGTCGAATCAACGGATCACCACAACCACGAATGGACGACGACGACGAGGAGGACGACCACCACAACCACGACCACGACCACGACCACGACCACCACGACCACAACAACAACAACAACAACAACAACTTACTTCTCTGTTCCATTGCGCCATGTTCGGAAGCGCCACCCCAGTCACCTAGTGACCGGAGCCTAGTTCAGGTGAACGTAGGTATGGCTATATTGATCACTGTCATATTGAGCATTCGTTGAATAAGAATCCAAAATGATCTGTGAGTGCAGGGATCCATTCTGAGGTACCTGCACCAAATCGACCACATCGTGAGGAAGAGGACAGACATCGGGGCTCAATCGGGTGGCAGACATCGTCCACAAGACGACACCACAGCCAATCGCTGATCCAGGCCTTAGCACTAAGGCCAACCCAAGTTAAAGGTTGAACATAAAAAGAACACTAAAACAACATGAAACCAGCTGTCAGTTTGGTTGGTGGTTGGTGGTGTCAACCCAAAGCTGAAAGGTTGAACGGTTGAACATACAAAAATATTGCAACCATCCATCATCCGGCCAAGCTCTTCTTTTCATTCATCCCTTGACGTCCTGTCTTGGGCGCCTTCTCCAGTCCACCGATTTTGTACCTCAGCAGAGCTCTGAGCATTGCTCAGATTTCGCACGGGGGCGGTTGGGTTGGATCGTTTCGGCGACACGGCGATCGTTTTTGGTAGATGGTCCTAGTGTCATCGACCATGGGATATCACATGATATCACTACCCCCAGGCAAACCACTATATCAGGAACCAGGGCCCCTCGTTCGGTCTATGGTTTTAGTCAAACTGGAACCACTGGGACTCCCAGCTATAGTGTTAGTGTTGTCCTGGTACCCTGCCCAAAGAGACCTCATTCGGTCGGTCGGAGGGTCTGGATGCTTCGACAGGAGGTTTGTTGGCCCAGGAGCAGTTCTCCGCCCCAAGATGCAATCCAACCCTTCCAAACAAAAACACTGCCCCAGCAAAACCACCCCCCGCCCACACACACTGGATGGACAGGTCTGGCTGCCACGCGATCCATCCATCCATCCAACTTCGATCACACGCACGGGTCGCCGGCCGGGCTGCTCGCAGCCCTGCGGCCGCGCAGAACCGCTGCTGGCGAGTCACGGGCCTTTGGTGTGGCCGGACGCTTGAGAATAGATGACCCCTGTAGGGGCAAACCTGGCGCGTCCCAGACCGACCGACCTGGTGATGAGACAGGGTGTCAAGGATCCCGGCACGAAGAGTTGGTACATCGAGGCAGCTAAGAGAGTGCCAGGCACGGAGCCCATGTAATTATCTGGAGTCGAGTCTCAAGCTGGTGCCTGAGAAAAAGGAGACATGGTATATCCATTTCTATAGAGTACGAATAGAAGGTCCAGGTACATCATCAAAAAGCATTGGCTTCTACTTGCTTCAGAAGGAGATGGCCTTGCAGGTCCAAGCAGAACATGACCAAACCGTGTCTACAACGCACAAACGAGCAACGACCTTGCTTTCTGGCCTAGCCTTCACAACTTGGGTCCACCGATCAATCACTCAGCATTGCTTGGCTCTCTTGATTCTCTAACATTTCAAAGCCTCATCTTCTCCTGGCACTTCAGTCAATTTGAAGGCTTCCTGAACTGGTCCATGACGATGTTTTAGTAAATCCAGAACCCTCAAAGCAAGGGAAAGAAGACTTTTCCAACCAATTCCGGTCCTCTTCCGAGTCTTCCACCGGTTCGTCAGCGAGTGACCCCTCAATCCCGCCCCCACAGGTCGTGCCAAGCCTGGTTTCTTTGATCATGACACCGGATTGCAGCTGTCACTGCGTCTTGAACCCCGCTCTGCGTCATGCTGAACGTCGAGCCGCGACGGTTTCGCACCAAGACGCTATGCTTTGGAACCACATGACCCGACCAGATCCGACCAGTTCCACACGTTCCAAATGAACACAGGTCTACCATGGTATACAAACAGGACACATGGGACTGGTAGAGGACCACCGAGAAACGGCCAGGGGTGGTGGTTTGGGGCGTGGTCAATGGGGCGGCAGTCCTATGGCAGTCCCATTAGTCGTGTCTGGGGATGGTATGCTTGGGGTCGTTACTACCTTGTGCCTTGGGTTCTCAAGGTCGGATTGTGGTAGGATGAGCCGCACCCATCCGTCCGAGGGTATACCAAACCCCCAACCAAGCTCGCTCCGTGTAAACATCTGTGGCCTGCATTCACCAGCTACAAAAACACCCAGGCCTCGCAAACCTAGAACTTCGTTACGAAAAAAGACATGTTTGCCTCGGGAGGGCATCTGGGTATCCATCCCAGGGCATCCAGGCAAACCACGATGTTGCTGGGAGTCCCAATGGTTCCAGATCGACTCAAACCAGTCCGACCGAACGAAGGGCCCCTGGTTCCTGAAAAAGGTGACTTGGATCTACTGGGCATGGTATACTAAGCCCTTCACGACATGCCACGAGCACGCGCCCGACGAGCACATCTTTGCTCTCTCGCTCCACGGTCGGATCGTTGGCACCAGTGGGATGGAAAGGGCCTCTATTCAGCGGGGCCTGAAAGGCATCGAAATCGACGGCGAAAGGCGGCAGGTAAACTTCGGTATACAACAAACACTGGCTTTCCAAAGTTCTGATTAAACCTTTCAGGTTGGGTGACTTGGAGTTAGGGAGGCTTTGGCTTTGTGTTAGCAATCCACTTTCAGTCGCACATGGACTTTGCCCAGATCCAATGTGAGCTCTACACATGCACAAGCAAGCAAAACGGGTGTCTGAGAAACACTCCCAGTGATGTTCTCTTGGGATTAACCAAGGGGGGGTCGATGTTACACACCCGGTTGTTCATCACGACCAAATAATACCCACCAAGACCGTAGGTCAGGCTATACTCCACTGGCACCCTCAGCACCCTCAGCACTTCGAGCCAAGAACACATGCCGCTGACCTAGGTTTTGACCCACAACCATATGGGAGACCTGAGGGATCAAGGGATCAAGGATGGACCCTGAAAGAAGTCCTAGGACCTGGACATCCCATCGAGTATCATATACCAAAAGCCAGGTCACCTCAGGTCCACCTGGACCCTCAAGAAGTATACTCTCAAAAAGGGCTCCTCAGGTCATGGGTCGTCTTCAGGTCATGGGTTCGTCCAAACGGACCGGACCCAGCCGAGCTTACACCAGGTGCCGAGGGGAGGTGCGAGGTGCCGAGGTCCCTTCAACTGCTAGGGGGGCCCTAGCAGCACCGAACCCAGGTCTCAGAAATGGAGGCTTTGGTAGACTTAAGGGCGTCGCAGGCCTGGTAGGGATCCAATCGTACCTTCTCAGAAGGTACGACTGGACCATCCTGGCACCTACCTAACAGTGTCGAACACATCACCTTCTGAGAAGGTACTTGGATCCCTAGGGAAAGGCAAAAAGGTAGCAAACTCCGGAAATGTCCCAACTTACTTACAGTAGCCCTGTTTTAGCATGATCTGATATTTTCAACCGAAGTCGGTACCCGAGTCGCTCCCATCTTTGACTCAGCACCACCAAGTCGCTCCCGTCAATCTGGGCTTTTCACAGACCTCGGAGCGAGAGCTCGGGCGTTTCACGTTCCGGCGAAGCATCTGGAGCGCCATGGACGCTCCAACCAAACCACCCAACAAACCACCATCTGGACGCAGAACTTAGGACAGGTCCAAAGCCTTAGACTTGTTCAATCCTTTTTCCAAGAACCAAAGCGGACCCTCTTCGCACCGGTTTCCGAAATGGTCTTTGCAGGGGCGACTGCTACATGTTGAGTGGATGGATACCAGCTTCCTATAATAACCAAAGAATCTGTGATGTCCTTCAATAATTCCAACAAGTATTGCCCAGGACTTGCCTGTACCAATGCCTATCGTACCATCTACAAAGGCAGTCAATTATTTGTATATATACATGTACTCTTATCATCTCACTGCTGTGATGTAGTGCTCACCGTGGATTTTTACGGTAGGATCCCAGCCGTGAGAGCGACCAAAAAAACGCACGAACGCGAAGCATATCCCAGACACTCCATGTATGGTATATTTACCGATCAGTTGGGGTGGTTTGGGGGGTCAATGTATGGGCATATATGGCAGTATCATGGAGTGTCTGGGTATCTTTCTAGAGATTCAGCTGTACCGAACCTCAGGTAGGTGAGCAGGGAGACACTGCTCTGTATAGGTGCCAGGAGGGTCCAGTCGTACCGAACCTGAGAAGGTACGACTGGATCCATAGGGCATGTCTATATGCATGGAGTCTCAAAGTACCTCGGAAAATGGGTACAAGTACCTGTTTTTATAGGGTCATGTCCCATTTTGTAAGGTACTTGAAGTCGGGTCCAGGTATTTGTCAGCAACTGCTCCCTTCACATCCTGGGGCACCCAACATGGTGTGAGTCTGTGTCGGGTCTGCCTCAGTACACGGTCTACACGTCGGATCGGCGGCGTCGCTTGAAAAACCAAAAGAGGTTACATGCTCCGCCGCTCCGCCCCCTAGATCTAAGGGTTTGACTCTCGAGTTTAGTAGTAACTGCCTTATGAACCAAAGGGAGTACCAAAGGGTATACTGTATATATAAGGGTCTAAGAGTATATACAAATATATTATACCCAAAGAGAGGCTCTTTCTTTACAGTTCTGACGCCCATCCGTCCTCTGATCTTTTGCACAACAGTCTGAAATTGGTGCTTCCAAAGCTAAAGAGGGAGCAACGACGAGAAGAGAAGCGCCACTTCACCAGGAAGAGATTTAGCAGTCAAAACAAACCAGCACGTAATTATGTAGCCGTGCAGGAAATGCAGGGTTCTTACCGACCAAACAAGGCCTTTACTTTTCAGTGGATCTCTTTGCCTGCCATTGCTTGCCAATTGCTTACCAAACGGCGAAACTATAGACAGTATGTGGTACAATGTGGAAAATAACTGACAGCGGTACAAAATGGCATGACTGATCATCCGAATGAGGACTGACCCTGACAGCTAGCAGTCAGTGCCACCAACCGCCACCCAAAGTCACGAAAACGCATTGAATCAAAGTAACTGACAGTCGTCGCCGCTTGGCTGTTTCCTGCATCGAAGGCAGGTGGGAGCCGCGAAGCCGAAAACCCAAGCCGGTTCGGACGGGAGGATCTGCCGATCAGAAAGAGAAAGGCATCAGACAGAAAGGCATGGTCGTGTTTGGGCATGGTGGTCAGGAGTCCTTGCGCCTGCCGAAGTTTATTGAGTAAAGAACATGTTGGCTCGCCTTCTTCAGCAAATTTGCCTCCACCAGCTTGCATATAGGATCGTTTTGATTGGTAGATCTTATATCGTAGGCCTCTCAAGTGACACCCTCTGATACCAAGTGCTTTGTTGGGTGTCCAAAGTTCGGACTAGGTCAAGAGTGACCGCCCAACCTGCTCAGTCTCTGAGGCAGGAAACACGGTCATTCACCAGTCGCCAAGTGAAGCTTCGCATATCCCTAAGGGTCCAGGACCATCCTGAGGATGTCCTGCAAGGCCCCAGTTCGACCATTCTCAGGAAGTACGAACTCACCTCCACGACCATCCGATTCGGATGGTCCTGGACCCTTAGGGATATGCAAAACAACACGTGGGGCCCCGGGGGCCCGGCTGCGCCGAAGCCCCTTCGAGAAGGTGGCCATCACGAAGGGAGTTGGGTTGCTTGGGAAAAAGCTCCAACCACGAGCTGTTTAGACCAAACGATTTCGCTGGTTGCTGGGTCGTCCGGTGTTGAAACACGACCAACAGAAGTTGAAGAACCCAATTTCGACTATATTCCATAGGTACCCCAGTACCAGCACCTCCAACAGGTCACCAATTGAAACCTGTTAGGGCCTAACAACCCTTCAATTGAGACCTGTTGGAAGGTGCTGGTATAAGGTCACCCCCCAAAAACAGCATGTCTTGGCATGATCGGTCGACCCAAAACAACCGATTCGATGTGCTTTCATGGACATGAATCGACTCCTGGAAACGGCTGGCATCTTTACGGCCCAATTGACCAATCAGGGGTGTCATTGTACATGGGATACCGGCTTGCCTAGGGCGGACACGGACACCCATGTCGCTTTTCTCCTTCTGGGCCACACATCTCGCTTTCCTCCGCTTTCCACCCCACCCTACCGCCTCCACCGTCGAGGCCTCGCTGGTCACAGTGCCCAGCACCTGGCCAGGTCGCCAAGCCCCGGTTCCCCACCATGGAGTTCAAGGTCATGTAAAAACCAAACAAAACCGAGCTGTTTGACTGACGATTTGACCGGAGTTTGGACATCAGCTCCCCAAACACCGTTCCTTCTTCGAACGGAAGAATGGCCTCCGGCCTCCGGTTCGTCCGACGGGTGCCGTGTTTGGGAGTGCGATCCTGGTGCTTCGAAGGAAATCCCAGACACGCCTTAGTCTAGTGGTTTCAGAGGCTCGACCTTTTTGGTTGGTTTGATCTAGTGGCTTCAGAGGCTCGATGGCACAAGTGACCCCAAGTTTGGATTAGATGGATCCCCATCTAAAGGACATCTTCGGGTGCCAGTGCTATCTACTCTAAAACCACTGTAATGGGACTGCCATATATGCTTCCCCATTGACCCCCCTGGCACCACCCCAACTGATCGGTAAATACCAGTCCCATGGAGGGACACATGCAATACGAGCATCCTGGAAACCTCAGCCAACTAGAAACCAACAAAAAAAAGCAGCAGGCAACAACAACAACAACAACAACAACAACAACACATCTGCGCACATTCCGCACCAAATCCCGCACACAAAATCCCTGCTGTCCAGTGACTTCTGGGGAGCTGGGAGCTTTCTCAAAACTATCCCAAGACACGACTG